GCTCTTAGTCTCATTGATTTGGCTACCTTAGGGCTGCGTTCCCCGTGCCCACGCGGTAGACAATTTTTCTTCCTTCCCAAATTTTGTAGTCCTAGAGGACGCCCCCGTCTAGCTCTTGGAGGACGCCGCCCTCTCTCTCTATGTGTTTTGATCACTTTCATATCTGATCCGTGGTAGTTAAAAAAAGGGATAATTTCCAAAATAAATAAATGCCAAAATGCCCCTGAAAGACCTTAGTAGAGCGGAATGCCCTTTTCGGCCGAAATGTTTTTGTGCCCCTGTCAGGTAGGTGTGTAACTTTGCAATCTGGACCTTCCCGTTTGGGCCCTGGCCTTTTCAATAACACCTAAGAGAAGTACTGGGGATTTTGCAAAGTTAGACGGTACCCGGTAGGGGTATACTGCAATGATGGGGGCCCAGCCGACACCAGGGGTATTTCACAACATATTCTTCTGTCAGAAGGGCATTCCGCTGTACCCACGTCTTTTAGGGGCATTTTGGCAAATATCTCAACTCTGTTTTTTTTTCCAAATTACCCCTAGCAGAAAGGAAATAAAAAGAAATTAGCCTCCCTGTCCATTGCACAGCCACCACGAAAAGTGCATACGCGTCCTTCGGGACATCCGTTAAAATTGGAACGATACAGAGAAGATTAGCATGGCCCCTGTGCAAGGATGACACGCATAAATCGAAAAATGGTCCAAATTAAAAAAAAAAGAAAAAAAAAAAAGAAAAAAAAAAGAAAAGTGCATACGCTCTTCCAGCAGTCTTCCTGCACAGACAGCACGGGGACGGACAAGCATACTCGTACTTAGCATGCCCCAGGTGGTCCCCCGCTCCTCCCTGCAGCCTACCCATGTAGTCCCCCCCCCCTCCTCCTTCCACATCCCCTGACTCAATCCTGTTCCGCCTCGTGTATCGGAGATGGTAAGGTTCTCCATTCCCACGGCAGCAATCTTACTCTCGAGGAGACCCTCGGAACGTGAATAACGTAGACGACCGCAAAAAGCCAGACCTCCATTCCGCTCATTTCCCACTGCTCCCACGAAGCGCAAGGGGTCGCACTCTCGAGAGGGATATCACCCCCCTTTCCAACCCCCTACCAACATGCACCCCTCGTCGACATGACCTCTATTTTCCTCACAGAACCATCTCTCTCTCTTCTCTCTCTCTCTCCCTCCTCAAATTCGATACAATGTCATCGCATGCATGGGTTTATATCCAAATATATCCAAATATATCCAAATATATCCAATACCAATATTCAAATGAATAATGACGAATTAGATCATGTGACAATCTTCAAACCAAAAAAAAAGGAAATCACGAACCACTCCCCCAACACACACACACACACACACACGTAACCCCCAACACACACACACACACACACACGTAACCCCCAACACACACACACACACGCACACACACACACGTTACACCCACCTACGTACAAACCAATCTACCTATCCAACCATATGCGTCTTCCTGCCTGCCTATCTCTATTATCTCTCTACAGCTATCAGGTCTTTCTCTCTGTCTATTATCTCTCTACAGCTATCAGGTCTTTCTCTCTGTCTATTATCTCTCTACAGCNTACAGCTATCAGGTCTTTCTCTCTGTCTATTATCTCTCTACAGCTATCAGGTCTTTCTCTCTGTCTATTATCTCTCTACAGCTATCAGGTCTTTCGCTCTGTCGAATACGTCGTGTCAGGCTCTCCGTCACGAATCCACGCGCACATCGTAAGTACTCGAGCGAAGACTTGTCCTAGCCAACGAACAGATTGGCCCACTTCTTTCCAACCACTTTTCTCCCTATCAAATCGAAACGATCGTGCGAACAAATGTCAGACGCCGTTCATCCCTCTTTCTCCTTTTAGCCATGCTCCATGTAGTCAAGGTATAAAAAGTAACAATCTCGCCGTTCATCCCTCTTTCTCCTTTGAGCCATGCTCCATGTAATCAAGGTATAAAAAGTAACAATCTCTGCAATAGCGATGCCCTGGTCCATCTATACAGCCCACAGCGAAGGAAACCCCCTCGCCTCGTCCAATAATTACACAACTCAATCAACTCTCTTCCTCATCTCATTCGCAGTTTGATAGTACATGACGAGATCCACCTCTGGGCCTCGCCGCAGCACGCACCAAATATGAAAAAGGCGGCAAAATATGGCGGGTGTATCATTCCAGAATCTTGCGGGAGATTCATCGTCATTTTGCACATTTGGTGAGCGGCCTTCTCTCAGAAGTGGATGAACGACTACCGTCTTCACCCAAATACAACGTACGGTCATTACTGCTGTATCGAGACAACGTTCACCCCCAAAAATACAGCCTGCTGCCACAATAACGCTGCATTGGATTCGGGTGAAGACGGTAACCCTCCTCGCCTGCGCGGATATGGAATATAAAATGCACAAACAGCAGGAAGCGAAAATTCTGTTACTCTCTTTCCTCACTGCCCAGTGCCCTCCTCCTCCTTCTCCTCCTCACTGATCCAACGCGAGAGCACGTGCGCAACGTGCGCCACGACATCTTTGCCAGCCGAATGCAACCATTCCATCTTCACTTGAATCAGGTTATGCGCGAAGAAGGAGAGGAACGCGTCATGGAAATCCACATCCACTCGCGTCCATGGCAACGTCTCCAGACGGGAAATTATCTTCTCTTCTTGCTCCTCCTCCCGCCGTGCTTTCACAAACGACCCCAGAGTATTACCACCACCACCAGACAACGGAGCAGAAGCAGAAGCAGAAGCAGCAGAAGAAGAAGAAGAAGAAGAAGAAGAAGAAGAGGAAGAAGAAAAGGAAGAAGAAGAAGAGGAAACGTTGGACGGTTCAACCAGGGATGCAAGCTTCCGCCATCGCGAGGAGGGTGCGGCATCCGCCATCTGCGAATCGTTCCCAGAGGCGGGGGGGCAATCCTCCATTCGAATCACGTACTTGAACCGCTGGGACGCCGAGCTGCGGTCACCGGACACAGTGACCGCGCCCATTGCCGAGCCGCCGCCGCCACGTGGCACGGAGACCGAGGTCACTGCCGAGATGACGCCACGTGTCACAGGAGGCATCTTATTCGCTGCTGCTGAGCTGCCGCTACGTGGCAAGGAGATCGACGCCGCCGTCGCCCCCGAATACCGCTCTTCCCGACGCCGAATACTGCTCGTTCCCCATCCCACCATATGATCATGCCGGACATTGGCGTACAGGACCCTCTGCCGAAACGCCTGCAATCCTGACATGAAGTATAATCCTTCGTCGGGATGATCAACGGTCATAAAGACAAGTAAAGGATCTCGCGTAGCTCGTCGCTGCGTTTGGTCCGCGATGGCCTTGCTCCGCGCCGCGCCGCCATTGCCATCCTCCTCCTCAACTACACCGTCCGTCAGGAAGATCTGCCTGCCAGTTCGACCAGTCAACAAGGGCGCCACAGTCGGAGCCAACGTCTCTAGAAAAGAGATACCCATCAAGAAGGGAAGCTGTTTGCTATTGCGTACTCCAACATGCGGCGTCGCCAGCGTGACGAAACACAGAGCCATCAAGCCTGCAATCGATCTTCCGCCTCTTCTGGCGGCCTTTTCACTGCCACCACTGTTACCATCCACCTTTCGTATAACACTCGTGAAGAATTCGGGGCACGAGTAGGAGGAGGAGGAGGAGGAGGAGGAGGAAGGGGAGGAGAAAGAAGTGGAAGTGGAAGGGATCCCGTTCTCGGTGACCCCACGATCGTCACCAGAAATGTCACACATCTGCTGTGCGCCGGCCTCCTCCTCGACTACCTTCGCCATAGTCGTCGCCAAGCCACCCATTGACTTGGCGCGGAAGGAGAAAGCACCCTCCACCTCCTCATCCTCACGACCTCCACCTCGGATTGCGCCGAATCGCCCCGCCGTATCCGCCGTCGTCGCCGTCGTCGCCATCTTCGTCTCCTGTTCATCCGTGAGATCAGCAGCAGGAGCGACCGTTCCCCCCCTCCCCCCATCATCGTCATGATCATCATCATCACGATGATGATCATAGAGTAAACCCAAGGCGTATCGAGCAATCAACCCCCCAAGAGAGTGAGCGACGAAAGAGATAGTCTTGAGCGACGGTGTCGCCCGCACGGTGTCTCGCACTTCTTCCGCCAGACGTTTCCCTGCCTTGTCTATTCCATCGAACGTCTTAAAGAACCAATTCGCCTGACTCACCATCACCATCGTCCTGTCGCCGAGATGTCGACCTAACTCTCTCTCGCAGTAAGTCCAATCATACCCGCTTCCAAAGATGCCGTTGACCAAGACGACAAGATGCTCGGGTCTCTTCCGGATGCTGCTGTTGCCATTAATCGAAGATCCCGATCCGGACTCGTCCATCGAACTAACTATGTTCTTCATGGAGGAGGAACGCGAGCGCGAAGAATCCTCCCCGCTCCCAATGGGAGGCCGAGATTCGTCCTTTCCACCATGAGCACGAGTAGTACCTCTCATTCTCATCATCTTCCTCACCCATGATCGACTCGCGCTTTCCAACTTGGCGTCGACGTCGTTCGCCCTCTTTTCTCCCCCTGCCGCTGATCGCGCGAATACCCTCATCGCTGTGAAGCCCCGATCCCGATCCGGATCCACCACGTGAGACTCCTTCCTTCCGCCATCAGCAGAAGAAGTTGCCTTTGCAAGTAATGACTGCGCGCCATTGGCCAACTTGGCATACATGTCCATCACCCTCTTCCCTGCTACGGATCCTCCTCCTGCGCTCACTCCAACCGTCATGTTCACAGATATACAGACGAATATGGTTCCACGATTAAAAAAAAATCGTTTCTGTTGCCAATCAATCAATCAATGAATCTTTGATCGAAAGATTGAGACTCTTGAGAGATCGATCACCACCGCTTTCGCTCGATCGATCGAAAGATTTACAGATTTACAAAATCCCCACTCCGTCGTCATAGCTTATCGTGAGACAAAATCGTCATTGTCAATTTCTCATCGGAAACAACGGTACAGGTCCTCCATAAGGATGACAGCTGTTTTTTTCTGTTCAAGTTCTTTTTTTTTTTTGTTCTGTATTCTTATTTTCTTTTTCTCGTCCCCACCTCTTTTCCTGCCTTTCTTGTCCTTTCGCGCTATGACAGCTAGCTTGCGCCGTTCGTCGGTAAGTTCAGGGCGCAGTTGTCAATTTTCTCGGCTGTACCTACGCACCTCTAGGTCCAGATTCAGACCTGAGCTCGACGCGGGCGGAAACCGGTATAGCCCTACCGCCTCACCTGGCATGTCACCCTGGAATGTATCCCGCCTGCCGCTGATGAGCGCTAAAGAACTGACGGTCAATGATTGGCAGCCGGCGCCAATGGACAGAGGTGCAGCCTGTTCCGAAGACACGGAGCACAATCCAAAACGCAAAGAAACAGGGAAAACATGACATGCGTCAGCAGACTGCCATGTCTTCTTCGTCTCTCTCTCTCTCTCTCTCTCTCTCTCTCTCTCTCTCTCTCTCTCTCTCTCTCTCTCTCTCTCTCGCTCGCTCGCTCGGGTTGCATTTTAGCACACCTACGACTATCTCAATAGAAGCCCACTCGATGAGATGCACTTGGATAAGGGTCTCGACAAAAGGGAGGGTGGGTGGGCAGGTTCAGGTGAAGATGGAGGAGAATGATGAACAAATCAGCAAGCGAGCGAGCGAGAGAACAGGGGACTCCCGGAGAGAGAGGGATGCATAAGAAATTGAAAAAGGGATGAGGAACAGGACAACGAAACACAATAAGATCCGAACCATACGTTGTCGATTGCATGCGCCAATGGACGGCGAACGGAAATGCTACGCAACGAAGAGATCACCACAAAAAGAAAGAGAGGGAAGAAGAGAGAGACACAGAGAGAGAGAGAGAGAGAGAGAGAGAGAGAGAGAGAGAGAGAGAGAGAGAGAGAGACGATACGAAGGAATTGGGAAAGGGACAAATGCTCCACGAGAATTGCTTCATCGCCTCTATATTTTGCCCCGTTTGCGCGAATGTGATGCACGACACGCAAGAGCAGAGCAGGGAGACAAGGAAATGGGAGAAAATACCGAGAGCCGAGAGGACTCCTAAGCACGAGGAGCTGGTAGCCAAGGATGATGAACAGCAAAAGGAGGGGGGGAGGGGGGAAACAACAAGGACGACCAACAGCAACAGATGGGAGACCATTCCAGAAAGCAACCAGAAGCCGACGCGGTAGACGGCACCAACTTTTACCGCGCTGTTGAGTCCGGCATGATGGATGCTGTGCAGGTCCCCAGCTTCCCAGCTTCCCAGCTTCAGCATTTGTTTTCGTGTTTTTTTTTCCTTTATAAAGGCCCAACCAATTCAAATACCTGTCGAATCTGGACAGGCACCGCTGCAAGGAGAAATGGGTAAATACAACTTTCGGTGGCACGTGTCGTGTCAAGTCACTGCTCAGACTGAGGGCACGCTCACACTAGGTACCCAAATTCCCAAAAAATGGGAAAATGGGAACGGCCGTTTTGAGGAAATGCGGCCCTGGCCGGTCACACTGCGTTCCCAAAACGCTAAAGACAAGGTCGCTACATCGTGCTCTTCGAGGTGCTTGTGCAGGACGCCGGTCACACGCTGGATACCCAAAAGGGAAATGCAATTTTTCGTTTTTTATAATCTGCTTTTTYCCTTTTTTTTGGGGGGGGGTCTTGACTGCTGGCCGTTTGCACCAAAAAAAGGGACACGCACGTCTGACCGCTCCGCGCGTGCCCCCATTTTCCCAAAATTCGTTTTAGTCAATTGATAGGCCGCTAATATCGTGGGGTTCCATTTTTTCCAATAATGCAAGATAATTCAGAAAAAGATTTGAGAAGAGGTCACCGCAAATTTCCTCCCCCCGCGGCTTCGCAGGCCGCTGACAAATGGTCACCCCTTTTGAGAATTTGGGCAGATGTTCAGCATGTGTGCCTGTCCGGGAACCCTTTTTTTTTGGGGAAATGGGGATTTGGTACCTAGTGTGAGCGTGCCCTGAGGGTACCGTCACATTAGGTAGGACTTTCTTTTTTTTTTTTTTTTTAGGTAGGACTTTTTCGACCGAACTCTGGCGGTGATTACAGTCAGATGCATCCAGTGTTGGCACTAATTGCGGTCAGATACGTCCCGGCACGTGGCACTATTTACAGTCAAACACGTTTAGGAAAGGGCTAGCGTGTGAGTATATGCCCTGAGGTACTGTTAGCGTGAGTTGATTTGACCAGTTGATGGTCGTGCTTTACCACGTGTACACGGAGGTAGCCAGCGTCACCGGAAGCAGTCCGTCGGTAGGATGCATACACAGCATCAAATGTATCTAGACAGCAGCATTGCCGGATACGTTCGGATTGATGAGAAGTTTTGAATGTATTGGGATGATTTTCGGCACCGGATACATTTGAAGTGTTGTGTGGTGTAGTGGAGTGAGGCCGAATGTCCCACAAAAAAGTATCCGATTCCGAATATGGCCATATCGGGCACTCTGCAGCAAGCGCGTCGGCTTGACGTTG